CTAGTGGCAGATAATATCGTTTGTTAAAAAAGAAAAAAAGAATTGAGACATTGTGTTCCAACGTCAATGAAAGACAGAAGGCATGTTTATATTTATATATGACTGTCTTCAAGTATCGTGTTCTATCATTTATGTTTTATATATTCTATTATTTAAATTTGATTGTAAATTTAAACGTTCTTGTTGGAATGAAACAATAGTACGTCTACAAAATAATAAATTCCACTAATGAGTGTTTACATTTAAAATCTTTTGAGTAAATTATTTACAAGAACTGATCTTTTAATTTGATTTCCAAAGGTGTTTGAAAATAACAAAGTGTGAGTTTAATCCAAGAATTATAGAGGTTTGATTTGGGTGGTGAAGGAGTTGGCACTTTGGTTATGTCTTTTGTGGCTCGTCTCGAGAGTGTTGAACAATGCAGAAAATTTATGAGTCTTCTAGGTTTGTATTGTATCTAAACGGTCGCTCCTTCATTTGTATTGTTAGTTAAAAGGTCACTCATTAGCTATGGAGCCTCATATTTATAGGCCTATCTGTGATCCCTTGCATTAAGGTAGCGTTTGGTACGCAGACGGGATGGGACGGGACGGAACAGATGTTCTGTGTTATGTTTGGTACGCGCAGGACGGAACAAGACGGTTGTTCCGTCCTGCGTTTGGTAGCACATGGACGGAACGGAACCAAAAGATTAAAATGACTAAAATACCCATGTTTCGTCTGTTGTTTGGTACAATTTTATGGGCGGAACAGGACATGACTCTTTTTTTTTTTTTTTTTTAATAAGTTGTTCAAATTTGAACACTAGTATCCATTATGTGTTTTTCTTGGTCCAAATTTTAATAGGTATATGTTGTGTTTCACATGCAAACCCCTTTAAAATTTGTAATTTCTCCTGTTTTCTACACCTCCATTTGAATTTTCACCACAAACCCATCAAATTTTATTGTGCAAATTGCAAAACCCACACCCCAATTCAATTTTTAGTCCCTAATTTTGGTCCTTTCAATTGTGGGTTGTTGTTCAGGGAGTTTAGGTTCTACAAACATTAGAATTGGCCTTGTTTAGAAGGACACCCCTCTAAATATTCCCCATTGCAGGAACAAGGCAAACCACATAAGAGCACATGACAAATGTTGAAAAATATATAAGTTTAATGATCATGCATATCGTAAACATTTTAGGGTTTAAACATTTAGAACTTAAACAAAGAAAATGAAATATGCATAACTTAAACATGAAATATCCGAAATCAAACATTCGTCCTGACTTAAAAAACAAATAATGTCTTGCTAAAGTAATAATGAAAACACTTAGAAGTTGATAAAGTTCCCCATACTAAAACCACAAATACTAAAACCTCAAAGGCTCTCCATAAACACTTTAATGAAATCTAGCTTCTGTGAGTCATCCAAGGTGGTCCAAATACCCATCAGATCGGTATCTTTCACTAACTTCATTGAAATTCTTAACACTTGATCGTATGGGAGACCCATGGCCTGAAGCTCAGAAGGTAGTCTAGCTTTTGCTTCTCTAAAATTAAAACTTTCACCTAATTTCTTCATTTCAGTAACAACTTTATTCCAACCTTCACTGATAACAGATACAATATTTGCATCATCATCATTCCTGCTTCTCTTCCTCTTCCTCTTTGTGACATCCCACATCGCCTAGGGGAGTGATCCTTAAATTTATATTCCCATCCCTACCTAGCATGAGGCATTTTGGGAGCTCACTGGCTTCGGGTTCCGTAGGAACTCTGAAGTTAAGCGAGAAGGAGGCTAGAGCATTCCCAGGATGGATGACCCATCGGGAAGTTCTCGTGTGAGTTCCCAGAAACAAAACCGTGAGGGCGTGGTCAGGGCCCAAAGCGGACAATATCGTGCTACGGTGGTGGAGTGGGCCCGGGAAGTGATCCGCCCCAGGTCGGGATGTGACAATTTGGTATTAGAGCCTAACCCTGGTCGTGTGTGTGCCGACGAGGACGTCGGGCCCCTAAGGGGGGTGGATTGTGACATCCCACATCGCCCAGGGGAGTGATCCTTAAATGTATATTCCCATCCCTACCTAGCATAAGGCCTTTTGGGAGCTCACTGGCTTCGAGTTCCGTAGGAACTCTGAAGTTAAGCGAGAAGGAGGCTAGAGCAATCCCATGATGGATGACCCACTGGGAAGTTGCTCGTGAGTTCCCAAAAACAAAACCGTGAGGGAATGGTAAGCCCAAAGCGGACAATATCGTGCTATGGTGGTGGAGCGGGCCCGGGAAGTGGTGCCGCCCGGGCCGGGATGTGACACTCTTCCTTCAGACCTGTAAGCGACCAACAATCTGTCAGAGCAATACCATTTTGTTTTTCCAATAATCCACATGAGATGAAACCCAAACATGTCAAAAAAATTTGTGCCTTTCAACACAGTCAACACATGGATTAGTCCATTGACATTTAGCTTAATGAACCATTATTCTTTACCACATGGCTGCAATTTTTATATACAAACATTAGTCTTTTAACACAAATTTTCACGATTGTCTGCGTGTTCACCAAAAACACAAAGGCTTCCAAAATTCCAACGACCCTTTTAATTTCTTCTCAAAAATTCAAAATCCATTTTAATCCAAACTAGAATAAAGCAAAACTATAAAAAAGCACATGCAAATAATTTTAAAACAACTGCACTCACACAGTTTATATCACCAAGAACATATAAAAAAAAAAAAATTTAAATCACAATCTAAACTAATGTTTCCTCTCCTCCTCTTCGTGTTTGTAACTCTCTGCAGCATAAAACCCAGAAAAACAAACCTTCACACAACCTCAACAACTCCTCTCATCAAAAACTACGAATCCATTTAAATCCAATAATTACCAATCCATATCCGAATCGGATAAAAAGCAGAAGCGCAAAAAAAAAACCCAAAAAATTACAGCAACGTTGCAAATACGAGCAAATCAGAGATTTGCCAACTGAAGAACAAAAACGCAAAATTCTCCTTTAACAGGGAAAACCCTAGAGAGCACCACAATTGACAATAAAAGGAAACGATTAAGGTTTCATCAAAACAAAGGAAAAACCAAAAGAAAAACCAAAAGAAAATGATTATAAAATATACCTTAGTTGGATCACACTTGTTCCACAGCGGGCTGCAAAGACGCCACCCTTGAAAAGAGGTGTAAATCGGCCAAAAACCCAGCCACAACCCAGAAATCCCAAACGGAAAAAGGGGGAAACAACAGGAATTCTTTACCCCAATTAGTGATGTCGAAACCCTCGGAACGCAAAAAATCCCATATCTAAATAGACGCACAACGGCCCGGTAACCACAAAATCCCTTCAACCACGAAAATCAGCAACCCTTTCCGCGAAAGAGTTTACAAATGAAATCAGGCACTTATTAATACTGTAACTGACAAACAAATCTTGATTTTGTGATCACCAATTCAAACATTCAAGTTACCCAAAAATACAGAGGGAGAGAGAGAGAGAGAGAGAGAGAGAGAGAGAGAGAGAGAGAGAGAGACATACCTGAGGACCCCCAAGTTCGCAGAGCTGCTACACAGAAGAGGACGAGGAGGAAGGTTGCGAAGGGGACGAGGAGGAAGGTTGCGAGGCTGCACAGAAGAAGATGAGCAGGAAGGTTGCAAAGGGTAGAGGGATGCAGAGGTGAAGAGAAACGGCTGAGAAGAAGAGAAATAGTTTTTAGGGTTTGTTATCTGATTTTGATGTTGTAAATTTTGAAAAAGACCAGGGGCATTTTTGTCTAAAAATATTGGAAATTTCTGTCCCACGGACTGTGGAACAACCTGTTCCAGGGGGGGAGGTGGAACAAAAAGTCATTCAAAACTTGTTCCGTGGAACAGCGCGTTCCACTCATTTTAGGCGTACCAAATGTGGGACGGAACGCTTCGTCCCACTTTGTTCCGTCCCGTCCCGCGTACCAAACGCGACCTAAGTTAATGAGACTTTGTACAAGTGGGTCGCACGCAATGACGTGCACGACTGGAAATATGACATATCAACAGTTGAACAATGACTCTGCGATGAACCATCGAATAGTTCAATAAAAGGGAAGATGAAAAGGAAACGGGTTTGGGACATTTACAACTCCATTGCTTGAGTTTGATGTTAAGACGAGAGATGGGGAGATATCTAGAGATGGAGTGATGTAAAAATAGGTGCAGAGATTTTGAGATGGAAGTATGAAGAAGCTATTTCAACCAAGTTTTGAGGGGAGATAACTACTCAACTTTTAGGAGTAATTTTAAGTTGGTCTAACCTTTTAAAACATTTCAAATAACTACTTAACGTTTTAAAACTAGATATTCGTTAGGTCACTAGTGTTAAGTGATGATCTGGAGGAGTGTTAGGTCATTAATTAATGGTAGTGACATCATCACTTAATGCTAGTTACCTAACGATTGATTATTTCCAAAACGTTATGTAGTTATTTGAAATGTATTAAAAAGTTTAGACCAATTTTAAATCACCTTAAAAGTTTGAGTAGTTACGTATTAATATTTTATTTAAATCAAGGTGAATTTGTTTCTTAGTTATTTCTATCTAATCGTGTGCAATTTCTGAGACCCACAAGTTCAACACTTAAAACTCAAGGTGAAATATTTTCATAGTTATTTCTATCCAATTGTGTGCAATTTCTGAGACCCACAAGTTCAACACTTAAAACTTCTGAACCTATTTTTGAGATTTAACTAAAATACTTACATGTATTTAATATAATCACCATTTCAACGGTCAAATAGTAATTATATATATATATATATATATATATATATATATGAATTATATTGGAGGATTCCGAAACCAAAAAATTTCCAACAGCTGAAACTTGACCTTTATTTCACTGAAATTTAAATCTAAATCGGCATCAAATTGCAAATTTCATTGAAGAACCGAACACGCTGAAAACGCAATCGACATGTCCTGAGGCTCGAGTAAAACAAACTGAACAGCTCAATGCAAATAAAATAAGAACACATCAAGAGTTATCACAAAGAGTAGGGCTCACCAAATGAATAGTATAATGTTGCTAGGCAATAGTCGAAACAAGAGTGTCATTACAATACAATAGAGTCCTCGGCTACATAAAAGATCAAAAATAGCAGACACCACCACAAACTACAAAGGGAACAAGCTTGTGTGGCACCAAGTCTCAATACAATGACCTAACTCTGTTTTAATCCTAGAAGAACAAAGAATTCTGCTTGCATCTCCGCTGTAAAATCCCCGCCTAAACGTGGATTAATGGTTTTGTGAATGAAAGCTCAGGGGTTGGTGACAGAATGGAGCCTGCAAAGAGACCAGTAAAAGCATACGCACATTCAGTAGCAAAATCAAGACAAGCACAGCAAACATACATGCACAGGTAGTATTCCGCTAAATGCTTTATAGCCCAAAATAAGGGCCTGATTAATCACTTTTTTGTGCTGGAGATATGAAGAATGTATATGGGAGAAATGCAGGATGACAAAGGGTGATGGGAGAGAGGGAAAGAAATAAAGAATGAATGAATGGAAACAAAATCTTAGATGTGAAAACGACTTTTAAATTGTTTTTTTTTAGTGTGCGTTTCCTTTCCATTTCTTCTACAGCTCTCCCACCATCCTTCATTTCTCTATATCTATAGATCCCAGTGTATTTCTCCTCTATCTCTAAGGTCAAAAAAATAAAAATTAAAAACCAAAAACTAAATGAGTATCAAACAGCCCCTGCAGTTTTGTACTGGAGATCTCTCCAACAAAAGTTTGGTTACGAATCTCCTTTGCTTCTGGCAACTCGCAACAATCAAAACAAAAGTGTAAAAAAGACATTCAAAAGGTATGATGAAGGCCCAGCTGCACAATGACATTAGGAAGCTGCCAACAGTGGAATAGACCTCGAGAAGGGAAAATGACAAAAGAATTGGGGTGATGTCTCAATTTTTTTTTAAGAGTAACCAAGACCCAGCCACTTTAGCTTAAAGATTAATATTCAACGATACAACACCCAAAAGTGTACACCAGGTTCAAAGGCATGAGGTTGAGCCCTTGTACACCAAATGTCTGTCACACATTTTCCTGAGGTGCACTGTCAAAATTCCTACTGATTCTTGAAACTTCAAAACACTTCAGTTTTGTGCACTAATTAACAAATACATTTTAAAGAGAAGTGACCCCACAGAGGGATATTACGTTCTAGTATCAAGTAAACTGAAAGACGCGGACAAAAATTGAAATAATAAAACAACCACGGAAAAGAGGAGCTATTTGAAAACATGCAAGTTTAAAGTGCAACACAACTTTAAAAACTTAACATTAAAGCTATTTGTAATTTATTCCAAATAAACCATTTTATGTATTAAGTTTTGGTTACCTGGATAACAGCTTGCCTAAACTGATCATACGAATGTGCATACATCATTGAAGCACTTGCCCACTGCATGTACGTAGCATCTCTAGATGTCTGATTGAATCCCACAGCACAAAAAGGGCTCATAGCTGGGGTTGAAGGAGGCCCATAACTAATTGAAGCTTGATGCCTTGGCATCTGAGAGAAACCAGCATCGTACTGCAAAAACTGCGGTTGAACCTTTTGCATATTGAAAGGTGCCAAGTTAAATCCTTGACTGGTAGGAAGACTCCTGACATACCTGTATCAGTAGTGTAATTAAACATTTTCAGTTAATAATTTATTTATTTCCAAAACAAAATTGTATATATTACTTTTCCAAGAGTGTAAAATCTATTATGTTTGTATGTCATAAAACAAAGAGTTCCACAATGACAAGATATGAAAGCATTGTAGCCGGTGGTGACCAGATCAAAGTTTACAAGCATTTCAAGAAATAGAAAGGTAAAGGACACGTGATATAGCAGTGCAAAGACTGTAGTGTCCTTATTAGGTTGAGAGAAACCATCTGCAAAGTTCTCACATCAACTTTGATATAATAGATAGATGCCTACCTTTCATAATTTCGATCATAATCTGGGTCAGTACGGTCTTTTTGCCTATCTCTAAAAATGGCAACTCGAGATGAAGAACCAAGATCCTTCACGTTTAAATTCTTTTCTGTATCAACCACAGAGTTCCTAAAACCTTCATTCTCATCCCTGCTAAAGGATGCATTTTTCGCATCTGTAAGGGACTGAAAAGGCAGTATCATCAGAATCAGAACTGCTAATGCTGCTAAAGATGCGAGCCCGTGCCCGATCGTACTCCTCCTTCCTCTCTTCCACACTTCTCACAGGACTTCGCTTGATCCCAGCTCCATTAGCTCCATTCATATTATTTTTATCAGACCTGGGCTTGATGACAATTTTAATCTGCTCATGTCTATTGTTTTCTGACTGCTTAGCCGGTATTTCGGATAACTGAATTGCTGGGTATTTGCTTTCTGCTGTTTTCCTCACCAAAATCCTATTCCCTTGACCATCTGGGCCCCAATCCTGAACCATAGTCTGCAAGCCATAGTGTTGAGAAACACGATGTGCAGCAAGTCGAAGGTAGGATGTAGGGAAATGTTGGAACTCAAACAGCTGCTGATCAGGACTTTTCAGAAACCTCTGGATATCAAGTTCCATTCGCAAAACTGAAAAGAAAAGACATCCGGCTAATTAGAAAAGCAAAATATCAAACTATTCAAAGAAACCGTCGCCAAAAACTAGGACACAAATGCATAAAAGAGCACACGTAGGGGGACAATTGACGACTAGGTTAATCATATAGATTAAATGTTGCTTACTCTGGGATTTGATTTAATCATATCAAGGTTTGACAAGATAAGAAACAATTAAGAGATAATTGGCCAAATTCATATTTATTCATAAACATGTTTTGGGAGGATAAAGGAATCGATAACAGATCCGTCCAAAATTATACAAAAAAAGAAATCAGCATGAATAGAAAACATTCAACATCATATCACGCGGTACCAATAAGAAATCCAGATCTAAGATAACAATAAACCCAGATTCAAATCCAACAAATTCAATTTCATCCAACAATTCGACCAAAACCACAATTAAACAAAAAAAAGCCCTTAAACCCATAAACTTCGAAATCGGAAACCCAAAATTATTAAAATTTAACACACAAATAAAGCAAAAGAAAAACCCATAAACGCAAAACCAAATCCAACACTAAACTAGGGTTTAGAACAAGAGATAATAAAAAATTAGATAAAATTAAACAAAAAAAGAACTTACTGGTGAGACGGTGACGAGGATTCTGGAGAGCCTCGACCAAGAAGGGGTCAACGATTGACCCTTCTTTGAGGTTAAGGCCATCGCTGGAAGCTGAAGAAGATGAGGATTCCATGGACAGGATAAGAGCTGGTTTCTCTCTCTCTCTTCTCTCTCTAGAATAGAAGAGAATAGAAGAGAATAGAAGAGAAAAGAAGGTTGTAATGATTGATAGGATTCCTCTTGCTTCTTCTCTTGTCCTCTGTTGGGCGGGTCAAAAAGAGGAAGAAGAGGGACAGCGGGTGTTATTGGTCTGAAAGCATTTACAAGGGAAAACGAGGAGACACAGGAGGTGAGAAACCCTTTCGGTTTCTACTTTCTAATCCCACCCCAACCCACAAACTAAACAGGGAAGATAAGGGAAGATATTGCTTTTGGATTTTTTGGATTTTTTATTTTTAAAACTAAGGAAAAAGGTTTTGGGTCTTTGAGTTTCAATAATAAGAACAAAATAAAAAATAAAGTGAATAATATTAAGATTGATTTTTTAGTGTAAAAATATAATTTTTCCTTAAAGTGAACAGTACCGTGTACTTTTCGTTAAATTTTTTTTTTTCTTCTAAATAATAATAATAATAATAATTTGTTTTTATACACTGTTTTGCATACAATTTTATTAATATTTTGTCACAATATCCTCTCATTTTTACCGAAATTTAGATAATAAAAAAATAAAAAATCTTAGAGCATTTGTAAAAAAGATGTTTTTGCTTTAAGAATCCACGATATATTAAACTCAAATGAGATTACATCAAATCTTGGATAAGGACATGAGCTATTTTATGGCTATACCTACAGGTTCTAGGGACATGCACGAATTATGTGGGATGGAGTGCAGTCACAACCTGCCATACGTCCTCTGCAAGCAGACCCAATGCAGAAACATTACTAGAGTAAGCATTGATCGTAGCCAGAGCCTGAGTGGAGTCGCTCTCCACTACAACCTAAAGTGCACCCAAGCGTTGCGCAAGCCAAAGACCTTCCATCACTGCTAGTAATTCTACATGTAGCACCGACCCAATCCCCTCCCTCCTCCAAGCCCTTGTAGCAACAAAGTGCCCATTTCAATTCCGAATTACCACTCCCACACCACCCAAATTAATTGCAAACCGTGTAGCTTCATCCACATTAATCTTTACCCATTCCTCCCTAGGCACCATCTACTTGGCTTGCATCCGCTTTTTAGGGAGGCTTGGCTTAGGATTGACCAGTTAGAAGGCCTGATGCCAACTGAGAACACGTTAGACTATCTCCAATGGAGAGGGCTAAAGGTCTAAAAGCCAAATAATAGCCTCATTTGTCCAAAAATCCATCTTCAATTGATGGCTAGGCTATAATTCTAGGGAGCCCACCAGGCTATTATTTGGCCAAAGGGGTATCAGCTGCAATAATAATTGATTCAAACTCAATAGCTAGATTTGAGAACGTTTAACGCTAGCCTAATTAAAATAACCAATAAATTTGAAGTATAAACTTAAAACTAATAAATTAGGAAAGGGGCTAAGCCCCATAAGTTAAAAATGATATATGAATATGGTCTGACATTGTTTATTTAAAAATATTTTCTTGCAGGGCTATAGTTCTAGATGGGACTATGTTTAGCTATTTCGATTAGAAATGGCCTTAGATTACCTCCATTTGCTGCCCGTGCTTACCCTCCCAAACCATAGCATTTCTCTCTTGCCACAACGTCCAAAGAAGCATACAAAAAATGTCAAATTTTTTTGGTCCACTAACAAAAACGGCCACTCCCTCATCAAATTGTTGCGAATGGTCAACGAACGTAAGCCAAACAGCCTGTGCGAAGCTACACTCCCTAAGCTCCTAACCCTCCGTTTCGGGATCTCCGTTATAGCTGGAAATTTACGAAAATGCCCTTAGAGGCATAACGGTTGACTTTCGTTGACTATCGCATAATGACACGTATGAATTATTCTTTTAGCATATTCATACAATACTCGTTGTTACAAATGTGTGGCTATGAGCATAATTGAATTCGAACCTAAAACGAAATTTTTACGAATTTCGAAATGTCGAGGGTATTTCGATAATTTTACAGTTTGGTGAATTTTCACATTTTGTTTGTTATAGTTTAGTTTTGTGAGCAACTGGGGCCCACACTGTTTTGCCTGTGTTCCCTTATTCCCCACTTTCTCAAATGTTCCGTTTTTTCCTAATTATTCTTCTCCTTCTTTTTAGTCTCTCATTAGACTCTCTTAACCTCTCATCTCCCATACTCTCTCTCTCTCTCATCTCTCATCTCTCATCTCTCAGCTCTCCTGTGACTCTCTCCATCTCTCACTTTAGAACTCTCCCTCCCTCTCCGTGGAAAACAAACCACCGCCACAATACCTTAGCATCTATGGCGAGCACCACCACCTCAGACCTTCCCAGTCACTATCTCAGATAGGTAGAGGTCCCTCTTTCCTCTGGATCCCTTCCTTTGCACAGTGACACTGTCACAACTTAACATTCATTCTTACTACAATCTACTATATTTGTTTTCCACTGCCCAAATTCTCTTTTTGTTGTTGTTTTTTTTTCCCGAAAAAATGGGTAAGAAGGCAATGTGGTCGATCGCAGAAGACCTTGCTTTGCTTAAGGGTTGGGTGTGTGGTACTCATGATCCGATCACTGGCACAATTTGTGGAAGAACATTCATGCACAATTTGTCGAGGTAATTCAAGGCACATCCCGGACCGAGCAATCTCTGTCGAGTAGGTACAAACGTCTACATAAAGATTTGAAAGTTTGGCAAGAAGCCATTGCAAAAGCGGAGGAAATTTATGTTAGTGGCACTCATCTAGCCGATGTGGTAATATTATATTATTTTTAATAAATTTAAAATGTTATTAATTTTTTTTATATACTTTTGTTACACAAATGTGGTTCAATCTTGATAACAAGAAATCATTCACAAGGCACGAATGTAAAAACATTGTGAAGCATACACTAAAGTACAAAATGTTGCCTATTGGTCCACAAGTTGAGTTGAGTGAGACTCCATAACACGAGTCAACTACTAAAGAGTCTCCATTGGAGGCAACATTGGAAACCCAAGAAACCCCTAACCCCAAGGCCTATTGGTAATAAGACTGCTAAGAAAAGAGCTGGAAGAGGGAGTTCTTCCAATAATGAATATTTAAAAATAGTTGATGAATTAGTTTGCCAACATACATGGGATATGGAACGAGACAAATTAACATATGAGTAAGACAAGGCTAAGGATGAAGTAAAGGCAATAGAAAGGAAGCAATAAAGGCAAGAGGAGAAGGATAAGGAGATTATGTAGCGACACCTCGATGATCAGCCTTCTAATTCAAGACATTTTTGGAGAAGTGAAAAAAAATGGCATAATGAGAAGAAGGTTTTCCACAGAAGATGAGAAAGTTTCATGCACTCCAAGGGAAGATAGACCGAACGAGCTCCAAACAAGCTCAAATCTTAGTGAGGAATTCGTATTAAGTTTTTTAGAGAAAAACATTTTATGGGTATTAAGAACATAAGTCATATAGTATATTAGTACATGTATTATAAGAAGAATAGATGACATTAGTGATATAATTTTTCCTTAAAGTGAACAGTACCGTGTACTTTTCGTTAAAACTTTTTTTTTTTTTCTAAATAATAATAATAATAATAATTTGTTTTTTATACACTGTTTTTGCACACAATTTTATTAATTTTTTTGTCACAATATCCTCTCCTTTTTACCGTAATTTAGATAATAAAAAAATAAAAAATCTTAGAGCATTAGTAAAAGAGATGTTTTTGCTTTAAGAACCGACGATATATTAAACTCAAATGGAGATTACATCAAATCTTGGATAAGGACATGAGCTATTTCATGGCTATACCTACAGGTTCTAGGGACATGCACAAATTATGTGGGATGGAGTGCAGTCACAACCTGCCATACGTCCTCTGCAAGCAGACCCAATGCAGAAACATTACTAGAGTAAGCATTGATCGTAGCCAGAGCCTGAGTGGAGTCGCTCTGCACCACAACCTAATGTACACCCAAGCGTTGTGCAAGACAAAGACCTTCCATCACTGCTAGTAATTCTATATGTAGCACCGACCCAATCCCCTCCCTCCTCCAAGCCCTTGTAGCAACAAAGTGCCCATTTCAATCCCGAATTAGCACTCCCACACCACCCAAACTAATTGCAAACCGTGTAGCTTCATCCACATTAATCTTTACCCATTCCTCCCTAGGCACCATCCACTTAGCTTGCATCCGCTTTTTAGGGAGCCTTGGCTTTAGGATTGGCCAGTTAGAAGGCCTGATGCCAACTGAGAACACGTTAGACCATCTCCAATGGAGAGGGCTAAAGGTCTAAAAGCCAAATAATAGCCTCATTTGTCCAAAAATCCATCTCCAATTGATGGCTGGACTATAATTCTAGGGAGCCCACCAAGCCATTATTTGGCCAAAGGGACATTAGCTGCAATAATAATTGATTCAAACTCAACAACTAGATTTGAGAACGTTCAACGCTAGCCTAATTAAAATAACCAATAAATTTGAATTATAAACTTAAAACTAATAAATTAGGAAAGGGGCTAAGCCCCATCAGTTAAAGATGATATATGAATATGGTCTGACATTATTTATTTAAAAATATTTTCTTGCAGGGCTATAGTTCTAGATGGGACTATGATTAACCATTTTGGTTAGAAATGGCCTTAGATTACCTCCATTTGCTGCCCGTGCTTACCCTCCCAAACCATAGCATTTCTCTCTTGCCACAACGTCCAAAGAAGCATACAAAAAATGTCAAATTTTTTTGGTCCACTAACAAAAACTGCCGCTCCCTCATCAAATTGTTGCGAATGGTCAACAAACGTAAGCCTAGAGAGGATGTAAGCCAAACAGCCCGTGCGAAGCTACACTCCCTAAGCTCCTGACCCTCCGTTATAGCTGGAAATTTACGAAAATGCCCTTAAAACGGTTGACTTTCGTTGACTATCGCATAAGGACATGTATGAATTATTCTTTTAGCATATTCACACAATACTCGTTGTTACAAATGCGTGGCTATGAGCGGAATTGAATTCGGACCTAAAACGAAATTTTTACGAATTTCAAAATGTCGAGGGTATTTCGATAATTTTACAGTTTGAAGAATTTTCCCATTTCGTTTGTTATAGTTTAGTTTTGTGAGCAACTGGGGCCCACACTGTTTGGCCCGTGTTCCCTTATTCCCCACTTTCTCAAATGTTCCGTTTTTTTCCCGATTATTCTTCTCCTTCTTTTAGTCTCTCATTAGACTCTCTTAACCTCTCATCTCCCATACTCTCTCTCTCTCATCTCTCATCTCTCATCTTTCATCTCTTAG